GACAGGGCTGGGAGACAACCAAGCCCTCTGCATCTGTGGTACCATAATCTCAGCAACATGTGCATAGACAAGTAGCTGCTCATGTCTGTATTTAGGATTGAGAGCTTTCTTAGGCTCCTGACATTTTATCTCTAGGCTATTATATATGACAATTGCATGTGTGAAATCTATTAACTAAATGGAGAAAAAAAATGAGTATAATTTCCTGGGTCAGAGGCAGGGAGTGTAATGCACTTAATACCTTCCATGTGGAAGAGGAAAATGTTAATATGTAAAATTGGAGTTGGAGTCCTGTGGAAAGCTCACAGAGAATTGTTACAGCAAAATGCCAGCAGGACATCTGAGCTTTGCCATAACTTGGCTCCAGGCATCTTCAAGTAGCATTGGAGTTGGGGGGTGGGGAGAGGGAAAGAGGGAGAGGGAGGGGGAGAGGAAGAGAAAGAGAGGGAGAGAGGGGGAGAGGGAGGAGGAGGAGAAAAGGAGAGAGGGAGAGAAGGAGAGGGGGAGGGAGAGGGAGGGGGAGGGTCCTGCCACAAAGGCAAGCTCCCTGGGTTCTGTCCCTTCCCTAGAGCCAACAATGGTCATAGCAGGACTATTTCAAGGGTCTGTATTTTCCCCCATGTATTTTATACATACATATTTAAGAATATAACGACACTTCCTAACCCAAGACAAAAACCACTGCAATCATCATTTTGTGTCTTTAATAAATGGAGCTTGGGCAGGTGGAGTGACCTGCCCAAAGTCACACATGCATGAATTACTAAGATGGTGCCTGATTGGCTCTAGGGTCTGTGCAGTGGCCACTGTACCATCCCACGTCCTGTGGCTGCTAGGACATCGACTACAGCCCAAGCCATGGATGAGCTCAGCAGCCCTTGCTTGACTCAACAATCCAATTAAACAGAGCGTTTGTGCCTGAGGAAAGGGCTCTGACCTCAAATCAGTGGTTCACCAAAACGAGTGGGTAGTAGTCCCTTCAGAGATTCTAGCAGTGTGTCTAGTACAGGATGCAGAAGTCTGCACGTGTCAGCAATTTTTATTGATTACTGGCTACTACGAAAGGGGTTCCTATGCCACATTCTGATAATCAGGCTTTATGCCATGGAAAACGTTAATGACAACGACCATAGGAAACCAGGAGTTGTGGAAGAAAGGCGCCTGAAATAACATGAATTCCACACAGGTAGAGGGAAAAGCATTGGTTTGTGAGTTCTGCTACTCCGGGGTACCATAGAGATCATCTGATATGTTGGCCACTTAATCACATTAGCAGCCTTAATTAAACCCTCGCACTGTGAGAAATCAGTAAGAGATTAGAGAGCTCCAAGCAAGTTCCAGGCAATCTGGAGTGGGGAGTTGAGTGTTGAGTTGTTTGAGTTTTTTCTTTAAGTTCAATTGGGAAATCATGCGGTTAATATGATCTACTACTCATAGACCTAAAATACCCTAAGTGGTGGAGCTCATTGCATCTGGATCCAAAGTATGGGACGATTAACAATAATGGTTGAGACTCAGTGCTTGCTACAAGGAAGGTAATTATTTCTACCAAAACAGATTGTAACTGAATATTACATACCCATAACCTACAAAGCTCTCAGATTTGTACTTTTGAACAAAGCTACCTCTCCAAATTTAATGCTTCTTTAGAAAAAAAAAAAACCTGTAGGAATAAAAAGAGCAAATAAAAAATAAATAAGAGAAATACTTCACAATTTAGAAACATCAACTAGTGAGAAGTTGAGTTTTTAACAGGAAACACTTCCAAAACAAGGCCCAGCGCCTTTTGCCAGAACATTCTCATGAAAGCTGATTTGCCTCTTGATAGAGATGGTGGTGACAGTCATGGCTGCGTGGCCAACTGGCTCACCCCAAGATAAGTGGGCAGGCAGCAAGCAACTCCAAAAAAATATCCTCAAGTGTCAGGATACCTCCCAAAGTCACCTGATTTTTCAAAGGCTTCTTTTGTGCTTTTGAATTTGCATTTTTTCCTTATTATTCTCTCATTTCAATGCCATAAACCAAGGGATGGAGAGAGTGGTACCAAGTCAGCCAGGTCTCATCTCAGCCCCACTTCCCAACCATTGGAGGGAAATGTATCTCTGCATCAACACCCAGACACGCACTCAATGTCTGTTTTTAAGTTATGAGTTGGCTGTAAAAATCACCCCCCAAGTTTCCACTCACTTAACAAGATTAACCTCATTCACAACCTGCCCCCGACCCTCTCAGAGCTCAGACCTCCAAGTCTTTGGGACACACTGAAGATGCAGAAAGGAAAACCTGGGAGTGGTCTTCTCTGGCCACCTCAGCTCATGAACCCATCACACGCTGGGCACAGCCTACAGGATGAGCTTCATCAATGTCCTCCAGCCAGCCCAGAAAAGGGTGTTACTGTACAACAGTCAGGAGATGATGAGATTCTTCAGTTCCATGAAAATCACCTTTGCAGCAACAACACAGAGGAGGGGATTTGAGATTCCTGGGACTGAATCACAGCTCCAGCAGTTTGCAAAATACACAGCACCAGGAAACCATCTCTGCTCTTTGGACCTCAGACTCCTCACCAACAAAGTGCTTTTCATAATGCCCACCCCTGGCACTGATTTCAGATATAAGAAACATAGCACAGTCTAGGTTCTGGGTGGGAGACCCAGAACTTGATAGGGCTCCATAAAAGATAACAGTACTTCTCATTATCAGAAATTTCAGAATATTTTGCAATAGATCCATGAGTTTAGCATTCCAGAAGCATACCCATGAGTAAAAGGCAACAGAGATTCAGTAAGGCGTGTGGCAATCCACTACTGATTTCTAAATGGAATAGCTTTATCAGAGAACATTAGTCCAAGATGACCTGGCCAGAAAAATTCAATTATCTTTAAATGCATCTTTCACCTACATTTAGCAAATAATGATCCTGTTAAATCTACATCGGGTCATTTGTACAAAAGAAATAAAACATTACATATACAAACGAAGTTGCTCTCTGACCCCTCATTTCTCTCCCTTTCTCAGTACAGGTTGGGGTGTATCTACAGCTTTACCACATACATAGGGCTACCCAAATAATCTATAATGCTAGTATTCATATAATCTATATCAATGATATTTCAATCTATGAATTATGTTGCAAATTGATTTTCTCATCTAACATTGTATTTTTGAGATTCATCTATGTTGGTTTTGCACACAGGTATATGTAACTTCCATATTGTAATCTGTAGTATGGTTATACCACAACTTATTCACCATTCCTCTGTCTATGGGAGTTTGGTTATCAGTTCTCACATTTGCAAAACTAGGCTGCAATGGACATGTTTTTCCATGTCTGCTTTGTGTGCTAAGGGGTCAGCAGTATTACTGAGGGAATGTGTTTCTTTATTCTGATTTGCTGTTCCCAAAATGCTTTTTGAAGACGTACTTATATTCATTACCACCATTCTGTTGATATATGTCCTTAAAAACATATCACATTTTTCATGTTTGTCTACATATTGAGGTAGCAAAAATTCCAGGAGAAGAAATCAAAGGAGTAGACGGGTGCTGCTGTCAGGTAGAGGATTTGAGGGCACCGTGCTGCAGCTGAGCTGCCGCCCTGGGCTGCCTGGAGTGGCTCCACTGCACCCATTCAGACCTGTGGTTCCCACCCCACTACATGAGAATGAGCGTTTTATTTACAGTGCCAGTGTGGCCTACCCAGAGCACTGAAGGACCTGGACTTATCAGCTATTCAGAAGCTCTAGGTAAACCCAATAGTGAAGTCAGAGAACCACATTTCAGAGGACGCATAAAGGACACGTCCTAGCATGTATGATCTGAGAGATCCCAGTGGGTTGTTTTATCTGGAACAGGGTCAAAAAACACTTTCTGCACAGGGTCAGGTGGTCAATAATTCAGGTGAGGTCACATCATTGCTGTCACCACGACTCAGCCCTGTCACTCTAACTTATCAACAAACAGCGTGCTAAACTCTAAATAACCAGGTACCAAAACAGGCAGCATGAGGGTATTCGGGGGCAGGTCACTGCACCGGATTCGGTCAGCCCTAGCCATTCCCTTCACAGAGAGCTCAGGAGACACCAGCTTTTCTCACCTCTGGTTCTGAACGAGGAGGTCGGGTTTTGAGAAAGTCTCTTTGAGGTTGGAGACCACGATGCATGATGCAGAAGAGCTGTGGGCCTTAGTGCTGGGGGGTTAGGTCCATGGAGCACTGGGCACTGAGCCTGCAGGCTGCAACAGCGGGTGGGAAGACTTCATATGCCCACCATGGGACAGGCCTCTCTGATCTTTAATGTGGCCACGTGTCCATTTGGTGTTGGAGACAGCACTGGCAGACAGGGGAGGTTGCCTCAGGGTTGGGGACATCCAACCCAGTTACAGCAGCAGATGGGGATGCGATGAGCAGGACACATTCCTCACCCATATATATTCCTCCTCACTGTTCTCAAGCACAGCTCCCCAAGAACTGGGTCCTTCTTTTTTTGTTTAAGGTTTTTTTTAGAAGACAGAATTACAGAGGGAGAGGGAGAGACAGAGAGAAAGGTCTTCCACCTGCTGGTTCACTCCCCAGATGGCCGCAATAGCCAGGGCTGGGCCAGGCTAAAGCCAGGAGCCAAGGGCTTCATCTGGGTCTCCTACGTGAATGGCAGGGGCCCACGCCCTTGGGCCATCTTCTGCTGCTTTTCCCAGGCCATCAGCAGGGAGCTAGATCTGAAATAAAGCAAGTGAAACACCAACTGGCACCCACGTGAGATGCTGGCCTTGCAGGCACTATGCCACAATGCCTGCCCCTCTTGTTCTTCATGGACAATTTGTCTCCATAGCCATTCCAGCCAGCACCGGCCAATAGAGCAGTTCACAGCCCTGGTTTGTGGTGCTGATGGCAAGAGCTTTGTGTGTGTAGATTCCAAGTTTGCAGTAAGGTCACTGGTGATGGAATCTGACATTAGCCACCGGCCAGTGCCCCTGGGTCTTGACTAATTTGTTCTCCCCTCCAGGTACCAGCAGTGCCGAAGTGAAGGAAAACCGCAATGTCAGCAACCTGGGGATGAGGCCCCCTCCTCCTGGAGACTGGGCAAGAGGTGGTGCACCCAGCATAAAAAGGAAAAGACCCCTGGAGGAAGGGAACGGGGGCCACTTGTGCAAACTCCAGCTGATCTGGAAGAAGCTCTCATGGTCAGTGACCCCCAAGAACGCCCTGGTCCAGCTGCACGAACTGAAGCCGGGCCTGCAGTACCGGATGGTGTCGCAGACGGGCCCGGTGCATGCCCCAGTCTTTGCGGTGGCGGTAGAAGTGAACGGCCTCACCTTTGAGGGCACGGGGCCCACCAAGAAAAAAGCGAAGATGCGAGCAGCGGAGCTGGCACTGAAGTCCTTCGTGCAGTTCCCCAACGCTTGCCAGGCACACCTGGCCATGGGCAGTGGCACAAGCCCGTGTACGGACTTCACCTCGGACCAGGCCGACTTCCCAGACACGCTGTTCAAGGAGTTTGAGCCGTCCACACCGAATGAGGACTACCCAGTCTGCCGCCCCGTCGACACCGAGCTGCTGTCCACTGCCTACCGGCACGGGCGGCTGCTCTACCATACCCTGGACCTGATGGGCCAGGCCCGGCCAGACAGGCCCAGGCCAGCCCCAACGGCCCCAGGGGAGAGGAACCCGGTGGTGGTGCTGAACGAGCTGCGCTCTGGTCTGCGGTACGTGTGCCTCTCGGAGACGGCCGAGAAGCCGAGGGCCAAGAGCTTTGTCATGGCCGTGTGCGTGGACGGGAGGACGTTCGAAGGCTCAGGACGCAGCAAGAAGCTGGCCAAGGGCCAGGCCGCACAGGCCGCCCTGCAGGCCCTCTTCGACATCCGGCTGCCGGGCCACACTCCCAGCAGGAGTAAAAGTAACCTCTTGCCACAGGTGAGACTTCTCAGGTAGCTGCCCGCCAGGCAGAAGGATGCTGGGAAGGATGTGACCTGGGGTTTGCTCTGCCAGTGACAGAGAAGTGGGCAGGCCCCTGTCCTCTGATGCTTGTGAGCAGAGTGCAGCCCCACACCTCCCCTTCCAGCCCCCACACCCTCTCCTTCTGGCAAAGGTCCCGCCCTATCCTTACTAAGAGAACTTGCAGGGGTTGCAGAAGGAGAATCTTGTGAATTGAGGAAAAGAGAATGTCCACGCTGCAACTTGGCAGGGGTGGTGGGAGAATGTGTGCAGCTGGGGGGATGGTACCCCGGGGGCAAGGGCCACCCGAGGGTAAGGAATCAAGCAGGGCTGGGCAGAAGGTGCTTCTATCCCACTGAGAGGGGCACGCTGCGGGAAGGGCTGGCTACATTCTCCAGGCCGCGTGGTAATTTGCTTTCTCTGCCACCAGAAGAAAGGAGCATGGGGCAAAATGGTTGTGTTCGGTGTGACGGTCTGGATTGACTGTTTTGCCAAGGAGACTTGGGAAAGCCAAGGAATGAGAGTTGTCCTATTGGAAGTTGGTACCTCCATGGTCTTGAATGAAGGCCTGGGGAGACTCCCACACTCCTGGGCCCAGGCAGGGTGCAAGTGTGTGCAGGGAGAAACACAGTGGAAGGCACAGGAAGCCAGAAGTCAGAATTAGGGACTGGAGTCTCACTGTACCAGTCCAACATCATCATCTCTATGGCCCCTTTATGCACAACTTTCTGACTGGAAACTCGAGTGCTCCACTTGCATTAGAAAATATTCTCACACCATTTAAAGCAACCTTATTCTGCCTGTTCTTCTAATTGCTTATTTATGCAAATTGTCTTTTCTTTTATCATTCTGAAGATTATTTGTGGGCATCACTAATGTAGGAGATACAGAAAATTATCTTTATTCATTTTGGGCATCAATCAAGGAAAGAAACATTTTACATAGTTAAAAAGCACTTAGCCCGGTGAGGGATTCCTGGTAAGTACTCAATAATTATAAGTTATGGCTGGAATCGCTACCGTCACATCATATCACCTAGAATAGAATCCATTATTCTGCCCTGGGATATCATAAATCTGTTGGAGAATGAAGGGTATCACCAAAACTTCAGATACTGCTTCGCGATACTGCCTAAGGATCCAGAGTGCGTGACGGTGGTACCCGTGGTCTCTTCGTTTGGATTCGGGGCTGGGTTTGAGCACTCATTTATCCATGCCTTCATTCAATATTCATGTGATTCTAAGCAGGCATGGGCAGGCAATGGGCAAAGCTGACCACGTCCTACTTCCAGCAGAGCTAGACAAGAGAAGATCTAGAGTATGTACAAGGGGTTCCAATCAAGGGAGGCTGTTTCTCTTGCTCTCTCAACCCTCCTGTCATCCAGTAGGGTTCAAATATTTATTATACACCCAACATCATTCTAAGAAGACAGTAGGGGGAGGTGTAGACCGCAATCCCCATCATTCTTGCCTTTCAATCCGTCCTCGAATAAATGCACAATCGAAAAGCTGGAAGAGGGGTAGCTTCTACATGTACGTCCCTGTGCACCTCCTAGTGGTCTCCTGGAGCGTTGCTCTCTCTTTTCTGGCACCTCCATCTTCTCTATTCTGCTTCCTCACTGTGCCTTCAGCTTACCAACAGTAGCCACGGAAGCCACTGTACACCCTGCTGCTGGGTGTGGGGCTGGGCAGAGGAATGAGCCCCCTGTGCGGTTGCCTGGGGCCTCTGGTGTGAAGTTGGTTAGCTCACCTTCCCTGCGAAGTCCCCCAGCAGTGACTGTGGGTGTGGCCAGCGAGTCGCGGAAGCACAAAGAAGGCACAGCCTCAGCAGTCCTCCGCCAGGCCTGACAGGTCCCTGTTTAGTAGGAAATGTCCTTCCTCCCCCTTCCCTGATGCTCTCTTGCTTCCCACCCGCGTGAAATGTGAAGGATGTCAGTGAATTCTGGGCACCATGCCTTCTTCTTTCATGCTGTCAATCCTGAGCTCTCACGATGGAGAAACCAGGCAGCGCTACTACTTTGTAATAGTCATTTGACCCCAGAATGCAGCACATCAGTTAAAGCCACAGCTGCTAAATTATTTTTCTCTGACAGTCCACTAACCACCCCGACTGGATGATGAAGGGCACGGAGCAGCATGTGGGTTGCAGGCCATTCATCACATCACAGCACACGCCGTCCCAGGGGGCTCATTATCCTTCCCCCTCCCCTCCTCTCCCTGCAATGCACACCCCAGGGCTGGGTGGGGGCTAAGCGAGATGATGGGACTCAGGACCAAGAACCACTGGCAGTTTTATTAAATAAGAATCCTGTCTTGGCAAGGTGTGAATTCAGGGGAAAAAAATCAAAAGAAAAATTCCAAAAATCACTGTAAATGCTGCTTTACCTTCCAGCTGTGTACCGACACTCCATCTGGAAAGCTGGTTTTGCAGCATGGGTATGCCTTGGCACCGTGGGACCCCCATCTGTGCATCATGGACACACCTCCCTGCATGCACTTCATAGACTCCCTCTGTCTCTATACCATGGAACCCCCCCAATCTAAACATCAGGGCCTGCTGTCTGTACATCATGCAACCCCCAATATACACGTCGTAGAGCCTCTCCCTGTATACACATTACAGACACACTGTCTATGTAGTATTAAATCATCCAATCTGCACATCGTGGACCCGTCCCTGTGTGTGCAGCAGGGACCACTCACTGTACACCATGGAAGCCCCAATCTAATATCACAGACCCCACCCTGTCTATGCTTCATGCATCCCTCATCTCCGTATCATGGGGCCCCTCCCTGTTCATACCTTAGGGCCCTACCCCCATCTGTGCGGATTGGAACCCTACCTATACATCATGGAATGCACATAGCTATGCATCATAGACCACTGCCTGAGCATGCATTGCGGTGACTCTTCCTCGTCACCGCCAGAGAATTAGGCAGGTTGCCCTCAGCTTGCCTTGGCTGAGGAGGGGAAGTGTGCCACCCTCCACTCAGCCTCCCCGAACCCCCGGGGGGAGGGAGGGGGGACAATCAGATGCAGTGGGGAGTGGAGTCAAAGCAGGGTCTCACTTTATTGTAAAAGGGAGGTGTTTATATAGCTGGCATACACAGCGGATTGGGCAAGGGGTGGGGTGATGTGATACAAAAGGGTTTTAGCCACTCCTATTATACCACCTCAATGATTGTTAGGCAAAAGCGCCCTGGGGCTGGGCTGTTTACCACCAGGGATTTGAAACTTAAAGACAGGTTTTCAGGCTTAGGAAGTTCCTCTAGGCCTCTCCAGATTCAGCCTCCCCCACAATACGCCATCTATCTATCACCTATATACATAATAGAACTCCCTGTATACATTATGGAACCCTCAAACCATAGATAACAGACCCCTACTTCTCCCTGTCTGTACAACCGTAAACCATTCTATCTATACAAAATAATATGAAATCTCAGAGATAATTTTCCTGTACTCTTTCTTCTGAGAACTACACAATTTCTGGAACTTAAGTACAACACCAGTATTCGATGTACTTTACCCAAAGCCCAAGATTTTACTCTTCACAAGATGCCCAAGATGACCATGATGTGCAGGGCAATAAACCAAGGGTCTGGTTCTGAGGCCCACAAATGGCATCCTTAGAAGACAACTAAAATGCTGTGTTGTGTTTCATGCCTTCTACCAATAGATTGGACTTATGAGCAAAGCTTCAGAATCATCTCAATAAGAGCTCTCTTCTTTTAACAATAGCTTATGAAAAAAGGCTTCAAATGTGATGGCTCCCAGGAATCGACTGGGAATCATGGTTAAGATGCTGCTGTGCGGTCTGCTGCAAAAAATTCAGTGGGTTCTCAAATAAGGATGGGGACTCTGCATTCCTAACAAGCACCTTTCGCCAGATTCTCATTGGATAATCAGAACCACACTGTCAGGTGCCCTGAACCTGTCACAAGGCCATTCTCAGCTCCAGTCTAGGATGGGTGGAACAAGAAACAGGGTGGTCTTGATCTCTTGCAGACACAATTCTAAGGAGACAGAACCCCCCCCCCCAACTTTTCTCTAAGACCTGTGTTAGTGATTCTTGTCATACAATGCAAAATCACAACCATTTTTCTGGAAAAACTTAAAATGGGTTTCCGATAGTAAAGATGACACAGTGTAGACTTGTTTGCAGGCTGGATTTTGAAAGACCAGGATGCAATATTCTCAATAATGATTACAATCACAGGTGTGATCACTCGGCATCTAATTCTCACTATTTCCTGTTCCGAGGAGTAGGGTGGAAGAGGCGGGGGCAGGTGGTGGTGTTTCTCAGGCCATGGTTTCTCTCATGCTACAAATTTCATAAGACTGGACTCTGATCCAGAGTGACAAAACCAAGGGTCTGTTAAAAATCTTTAAAACAAGGGCCAGACTCAAACATGCAGTTTACAGCATGAGACAGAGTGCACAGGCTGGATATTCCGCAAATATCCATTGACAAAAGTGCCACTAGGAAGCAGCAGGCAGCCCAGTGCAAATCCTTCTTTGTTTCTTTATCTGCAGCTGGGACAAGACACCTCCAGGCTATCCAGATACTTAGAACTGATAAGGAGACCATGTCAGAATGTAAATACTAATTAGCTGGAAGTTCATCTTAAGAAAATATAAAAATCCGGCCGGCACCGCGGCTCACTAGGCTAATCCTCCGCTTAGCAGTGCCGGCACACCAGGTTCTAGTCCCAGTCGGGGCACCGGATTCTGTCCCGGTTGCCCCTCTTCCAGGCCAGCTCTCTGCTGTGGCCCAGGAGTGCAGTGGAGGATGGCCCAAGTGCTTGGGCCCTGCACCCCATGGGAGACCAGGAGAAGCACCTGGCTCCTGGCTCCTGCCTTCAGATAGGCGCAGTGCGCTGCCCGCAGCGCGCCGGCCACGGCGGCCATTGGAGGGTGAACCAACAGCAAAAGGAAGACCTTTCTCTCTCTCTCTCTCTCTCTCTGTCTCTCACTGT